ACGTAGACAAGCCTTCAATTCCATTTAAATCTTAGTTTGTACTAAAAATAGATAAAAGAAAATCAGATCTATACTTAAAGAAGTAGGATAAAATTGAGATCTCAACTGAATCATACTTAATTTATATAAAAATATTGTTATTATTCATTTATTGTTAATATTAATGGTTGAAAAAAAAATCCCAAGAAAAGAAACACTTGCCTTGTGTGATAAAATAAATTAAACTTATCTTAATTGTACTATATTTTTGCCCGTCTCTTAATATTGTCAATTACTGAACATAATAAGTGTAATTTAACTAATTTCTCAGAAAATAATTTTTGAAACTAAGCAAGTACTATCTGCTACAACCTAAAAAGAGTTCTATTGACAAAAATAACCTAACGGTTTTATAATAATAAACAATAATAATTATTATAAACAATTATAACCAAACAGACTTCATGATAAAATCACAAATGTTTTAATGTAAACAAGTGACCAAATAAAAGAATGACTTACAAATAATTATTCAACTCCATAAAGGTTTATAACAAACGATATGATTCATCTACAAATCATTTTGTTTTTAATTTAAATACATGTAAATAGAATACGACATTCCTAACTCGATAGGCTAGACAAATAATAGTAAACAATATAGAAAATTGTACAATATTCATTTAACAGTTGGACTGAGAAATACCGAAAAGTATTAGTTACAAATGTAAGTAATATTTCGATTGAAAGCACGTGCTGCGTTAGGATAGTAAGAGTCATATATATATAACGTATACAACCAGTAAAAATTAATTAATATATTTTTTGAATTAAATTTAATAAATACCAAAGAATATATATATATATTTACTGATAAATTGTAATAAATACTCCCAAATTATAGGTATAGATAAATAAAAAACATTAGTTACAAACAGTATTCAATAACTAAGGAAACAGGTCAATTTCTACAAACAATAAAAATAATAGAACCCCGTTCCCTTACTTACTGAACACTAATACAACAAATATATAATAAAAAAATATTAATATTAATAATAAGAAATATTTTATTTTAAGAATAATAATCATTAATCGAGACTTGAATAAAAATTACGTTTCGCATTATCGATCATCAGGTGGTAGGAAAGTAATTAATGTACTGAAGGCAGCGTATTTTAAACGACAACAGAAAAGCTCACTTGGTCACACTAAAAGGTACAACGGTCGACCACGCCCTAAAAACGCCGCCATATCCGATCAGGAGAGGGTGAAATTTTGATGAAGAATAAAGTAGGGAGGGCGCACGACGGATCAATAAAAAGCCTACACCACCCCTCCTGCCAGTTCAAAAACGATGTCTCGCCAGCGTTTTACTATACATACGCCGCACTAACACATACTACACGGATTTCTCATACCCGCCCTCAATAGCATCGAACGTTCATACTTTATGAAAACATATATATATATATATATATTATACATAACATATTCAAACGACATTATGAAACGTCAATGCTTATCCGCATTAACGACAGTAACAAGGAACAGCAGCAACAGCTCTACGCTACCTCACACGACCCTTTGAGATACGTAAATACCGGCGAGATTTAAAGAGAGACCGTTAAATATGTCCACGTGTTGAACTTTTACTAACTTCAGCAGCCTCGTTACATCATTAATAATAACTCACCGATTATAAGTAATTAGAGGACATTATAATTCGTAATTAAAGCAAAAATAATAATAATAAACATTGATAAAGAACTAAGTATTTTTTTCGGTTAATTACTGCAGCGCGTTATTTTAACAAGGTACATTCAACTGTTAAGGTTCTCACAAAAGAGGTAATCGGAAAAAAAAATACTGTGGCTAATAAATGAATAGTATTTCTAATCAAACAAGTATTTTTTACAGTTTATTTACAACTTTGTAAGCAATATTTTTCAAATACGAGTTAAATTTTCAAAAAATAAAAAAGGGTTACACAAAAAGGTAACACTTTCTAACATTACATTACACGTAACGTATTTAAGATTATAATTAAGTATTACTTATTGCGGGATCCTAATGTATTTAAGTAATAATCTCTTGTTAATGAAACTTTTACGATGATCGACATAAAATAAACCTAACACAGATATCGAATTCAATATGAAATTATTTTTCAGACAACGACGAAGTGCAATGTCATTGTAAATACATAAATGGGTTATTGCGTTTTAACTAACAGTAATAACAACAACTACTGTAGGAATACTGAGACTGGCATGCACAACCATAATACTGTAATTATATATTTACCGCATACTTGATTATACTTTATTAATAATTAGCCAATAAAACCCATCATAATAAGACAGTTTCTAGTTACAACATAACATTATTACTTAAAACCTAAGAGGTATCAGATACACAGACTTTTACGAACTGAATTCACATAAAAAAAATTGTCAGTTGATAAATAGTGTTGTGATCTAAAAGCAACAATATAATTGAGAATACAGCGGTAATGGAGTGTAGTTGAAAATTTAGAAACATGTCACATCGAAAAGCCCAATCAAGGAAAAATGATAATTAACACGGTTTTACTGCCTAAGAGACATTATGATCATTAATTACTCGTTAGGGCATTTTAGCAATTCTGGTAATCGTAAAATATAAATAACAGTAAAAATGAGTTCAATAAATATGATTAATAAATAATTACAGTTAAAAATCGTTTTTTTAAAACTTTAGGAAAACAGTTTTCTTTTAATATCAATTGTCCACTACAATTACACAACGTACTGTTAGTTTTCCTTTATATTATAGACAATTTTTTATTTTAATTCTCAAATTCTAGTCTACAATTACCGCAAAAAATACAACGTAAAAGGTTGTGTTGTGGAATTGTTTGGGTACGTGTTGAACAAGTTTAAAAGATAGAAGATCAGTTAAGAATGAAAAAGTAATTTTTTATACATCCGTTAACGTTTAACATTTTTTAACCGTGTATGGATTCATTACAGTCGCATACTAAAAATATAGTAAATGAACAAGCAACGTAGGCATGTCGCAATGGCGCAAGCGCATCAGTTCACAGTGAGATATGTAAGTAGTAATATGTGAACAACTGCCACCAATGGAATGTGAATACAACGTCGCCGCCAGTTGACCCGAGGTTCTGATTATCCATATGCGGCAAAGCGTTGAATGAAAATCCGCTGAACTCGTCTGAGTCATTTCCTGTCGGTCAATTCCCGCGAACAACTTTCTCTTCGTCGGCTTCTCCAATAATCCCCCCCCCTTTTTTTTTGTATCACACATAATTGAAAAACTTTAAAGAATGTGAAACGACGCAAATAATGCGATACGTACGGTGCACTCACCACTTATAGTGTACATTCTGATATAAGGTGTAAAATATGTAGTACGAATAAGTATTATAGTAGAGGAGTACGATAGTATACACCATAAATAAACGGCTTTCATTAAAAAGAAAAAAGCTGCACAGAAATTCGAAAGAGAGTTAGTGCGGCGTAATAGGGGGGACACAGCGCAGCGTTGCCACGGAAACCAGACACGGTGAGAACCCCGGAAATATCAGGCGGTTCCCAGTTGAGACGGCGAACTTTAAGGAAAGACATGGGGTCGATACACCCGGTGAAAACAAGGATTCAGGGTGAACTACCATGACGTCACGGAAGGGGCGCAAGCGTACGATTTCTGACGTCACTGACGTTGTACAATCGATATCGTCGCTGAAGAGCTGGTTATCGCCATCAAGCGTCTACTGAAATCTTCTCAGTATACAGTGCAGCACTGCGCCAATGTAATCTTTCCACGATATCGAAAATTTCAAGGTAGCAGTAGTAATAGTAACAATAACTAACATTGAAATTCGTTACTATTCACGTCACCGATGCCGTAGGTCAGTTCAGCGATTTACAACGAATATACACGCCATAATAATAATAATAATAATAGTAATCTCCTTTTTATTTTTAACCGCAAAACACTCGAGAGCTACGACTACTTTTCGGACCAGACCGTAATTATTAAACTAAACCACAGTGATTTTTCGTATACCAGTCATAACGACTACGATAATTATAATTAGAATGATTACGAAGGGAAAAAATAATGATAATAATAGAACTATGTGATGCTTCGCTGCATGTACACGAAAATAAATAATAAATAAAAACGAGTGGGATCCGAGAAAAATAGTCAGAGACGACGGTGCAAGAATCTATAGGCGTGAAGGACAACGAGTGCGTTGAACCGCCGCTGTACATATTTTATTCTTCAGTGCGTGCTGCAGGTACTCTACTGCTGTATAACAACGGCTCTCAAAGTAAAATTTGTGCCGGCCTAGACGCAGCATGTTATTATCAAGTAATTTTTTACCGCATGTTCAGTGACGCGGGTGGAAAAACTACGGCGTAAATTCTCGTACTCGTATGTGTGACAAACCTGATTATGTTCATACCAAATCCCTAGTCATACAAATGTGCGCTATTTTAAGTTGGCAACAGTGCTCGGGCCTTACACGATATGGATGACGGAGTGTAGTGTAGGGAGAATAGTAAAATATATAACCGCCGTCAGTGGTAACGACGGCGACGCCGCGTCAGCTGTGGTCTGGACGTGTAGGTCTTGTAGACGGGAAGGGAGCTGCGGTAGGAATGGCGACGGCGGCATAATGTAATAAACCAGAGTCTAAAACAGCTGACTGCCTTGCTGTGACAGCACCCATACCGTGGCCCCACAAAACTGTACCACTACCGCCGCGCCATATCCAATATTGTTGTACACACTCGCATACTATAAACAGCGTGGTTAGCTGCCACCGCCAAATGATGATTCTCGATGAATGAAACTATGTTACGGCAGCAGCATAGTTGCATTATGATTACTATTATTATTCTAGTTATTCAATGCGTTACGAAAAAAAATTATAGAACATATCGTTGACTTTCATCTAGGCCGAACAAGCGTAATTTTATATTATTGAATTTGGCTAAAAAACTTACTTTGCTGAGTTTTTCACCTTCATGGTGTGGAATTAGAGTACGCAAATTTTGAAAACCTGCATTGATAGATTGCATTCGACGCCTTTCGTTTGAGTTTGCGATTTCTCGACGCATTCTTTTTTCATGTTCCATCGTCGCGCTCATCTGCTGCGTCCGGTGGCTCACAACAATAGGGGTAAGCCCCGACGGGGGTGAGTCTACTCCTTCCTCTGAAGCGTTCGTCAAACTATAATACAAAAAACAAAACATTTTTAAACTTGTAACTAAAATTCATACATAACCGTTTTCTTAGAAGAATCGAAATTGTTATAGGATAAAAACGTGTTTAACATCCTTCGTAAAAAAAAAATATCTTCACAAATGGGTCACATAATAAACAGTTATCAAAAGAATAACAAATGGAAGGGAGGTACAGGCTATAAGGTTAGTCATTCCGAGAAAAGACCAAGCTCGGATATTCTAGCATAATAAATAGAAACCATAAACAGAGACACTCGATTTCCGAGAAACATAAATAAAATAAAATTACAGATAAGATTAAAAAGAAAAAACACTAAAGCCAAATAGACTTAATCGGGGTAAGTTAGTAAAAAAACAACTATGTACAATTGAGTCAATAACAAATCTAAAAACTATTGCTTGCCTGCTTGTTATATCTACACAGACGTCTCATCCCACGCATCAGTTGTTCGATGTGTAAACGCGAACATGAAAATTTTGCATAAGACTTGATACAAAAACTGGGAATATGTGCGAAAGCAACTAGAAAACATGCATCGATTTGATGCATGACTATAACACATATGTATAAACTATGAGTCTAATAGTTCATATTAGACTCATAGTTCTAATAGTACCATAGAAAAATTAATAAAAATAATTAAAATTAAAAATGAATTTCTCTTTTCATGTATTTCCGAGTAAAAAATAAACAATATTTAAGAATTCTTGTCTATTATTAATACACATTATTCGTTAAAACCTGCAAAATATCGATTTTGTTCACCTTGCCAGACATCTAGTTTTAACCCTAAGAATCGTCATCGTTATAATTATGATATTCATGGTTATCATCGCATTCTTGAAGAACTTATTATTTAATACTGTTTGGAAAAATGTTTTAGTTTTTTTTTTTTTAATTAGATATTATCATCGAAATTTATTCTATGCGCGAATTTCAAATGGCCTTGAAACACACTTATTTCTTAATAATTTTACACCATAAATAATTACAATCGTCTGGCTCTCAGACCAAGGCCCCGGGGAGAACTCATCATGATTGTTCTGGACTAAACAAAATATTGTCGGCGACCATGTCAGCTGTAGACGCTAAGAGAGAGTGCGACGCGCCTCGTCGGCGCTGTGACCTCCAGACAGGTTGGGCAGTACGGCTGGCGGTGACACCATACTAGCGCATTGGCGCGCACGCTTACGACCGGCTGTGGCTTTACCGCACCACCGTCCGTGCCGACCGACGTCTTCGCCGGCCGGCTTCGACCTTCCGACGTAGTGAGGCCGGCAGAATTATAGATTCATTAAATTGCATTTTATGGCCTAGTTTTTAAATCCAAGACATTCACCTATGATAGAGGAAAGTAACAGAAAAAAAAAACTATTTTGGACAATCTTTCTCGACAGCTGTGCCATAAACCGGTTACTGTTGTTTCGCCCTATAGATGAGCAGCCACAGTGGGGACAACAATAAGGGAGGACAGCTGGCCCAACAGCTGGATGCCAGCAACCATCTGCCGCTACGAGGCACCGACGTCAATTCAGCAAAGGATCAAAATAATAATACATCAAGAAAATCAGAGAATGAAACAATAATACATTTGACACAACTTAGCACACTTCATAAGCAAAAATTAAAAATGTACACTAGCCAGCACAACATGTGCAATAGAATTCGTTGATAAATTTTATATTGAAGTTTAAAAAATACATATGGAAGATATAAATGATAAAACAATACATCAGCTGACATTTGCGGGCGTGCACATGACGAGATAATACTTGTTCATTTATTTATGCTTACAGATACAAGAGAATGAAAACAGTAACTGATGTATTGTATATAAAATTATTTGCTACGTGAAAAATTACTAATAGGCAAACAACAGTTAATAGTAATTAGTTAACTCGAACTGTACCTGCAATAATTCAAGTCCTCGTGGTCGTATTGCTGTAAATCGTCAAACCTATCTTCAGTTCTGATAGTTATAGCCGTGTCCATGGCTTGGACAACGTGAATGGCACCGACGGCGTGCCTATTGGTCCGCCGCCGTCCGAGTTTTCGACCGTGCACAGAGGACGTCCACCACGCCGATGTTTATAAGTAACTTACTCGGTCACTTAAAATCTCACAGAATTTACACACGCAAGTTCAGTACGTCGCGTGAAAAATTTTATCCAATAACAAGTGTATTAAATTCACTATCAAACAAACTAACAACCACTTCGGACACGCCGTACTCGCACGTTGGATTGTTTTTTTTGCAGCGGACGGACGAGAAAAAAAATGGCGCGCGTAACGTGACACACGAACGTACACCGACACAATGAACTACGTTATGGCGGGAAACAGCTGTGTCGGAGCGCGCTGTGTACCGCTGCAACCCCTCCAACAAAAACAGACGCGTGCGCACATTAGTATTCATACGCTGCGCACACGCGGCCACCATGTTTTCTATACAGCCGGTGGCCCGTCGCCGTTTCGACGGCCACACCCGTAGTCTCATTTGAAGGCCTCATCTCATGCGGCCCTGGGCCCCGGAACTGCTCATCTACGATTGCGACAGAGGCGCTTAACAGGGAACTTAACTCGGTGAAACACTAGGCCGACCATGAAAAACGTCCCCTCCACGGCATACAACAAATATGCGACCACGCTGCAGAGCCATGTCCGTTTCAATGGAATAACACTAGGTTATTTTGTTTTCATTTGCAACGTTACTTAGGATTGATAATCGCTTAATAATCTGTTAAGTAGGAATGATAAATCTTTTTGATAAAATTTTATTATATCATTTTAGAACAAGAAATAATTGCCCCCCATCAATTTTCAGCGCATAAACGACGTTTACAACTCGCCGACAATAATGTTATTGTTATTTGTTTACATTTATCAGCTGCTTACGATTACAATTAACCCACTTTATTATTATTTACGAATAGCAGAATAGAAATAATAATTGAAAAATATGACTACCTAAAAGAGTTTTTTTTTATTATATTACAAAAAACACGAATTTTAGACTAAAATAAAAAAGTCATTCAATATTACAAAAAAACAGTTCAGGAAATTTTGTTTAATTATATCTTCTAAATAGTATACACTTTTAAACTGAAAGAATTAAAAACAATTTCGTAAAAATAATACAATTATCTATTTCTTAACAATACATTCAATTATTATAATCACATAATGCTTACAAAAAAGGCCACTGACATCAAAGAATAAGAAAAATCACTGTTCTGTCATATAACAAATAATTTTTCTTAGTCATAATTTTACCAAACATTATTTACTTTTATAAGAAAAATATACATACAACAATAATTAAGAAACAGAATATGTCACAACTGAAAATTAATTATCTGTATCAATTTAACAATATATATTTAAATAATTTATTGCTTAAATTAAATATATACTAATAAAATAAGGCATACAACACAAAAAAGGTAGTAATTTTAATTAATTTTAGCGTTTTATAACTACTTAACTAATTTTCAAGACTTTCAAGTCTAAAATACTTAATTTCTTATCATAAATTTTAATGAAAAAAATAAATATTTATATAACTTTGTAATATAAAAATATGTTTCAAAGTTTAAACATGCAAGATAACTAGGAAATTAGACTAATTGTCATACACAAAAAACATTCATAAGAGTAAATCTTCCACTTTAAAAAAAAAAATCTATTTTCTAAGTTATTAACATTGGTATATAAATATTTTTCTTAGGGCACGAATTTGAGCAAGAAGCATACCCATTGATTAGCGTATCAAAACTTCAAACTTAAATATATTTATACAGATTAAAAAAATATTAGCCTTATAAATAAATTAAATTTGTTTATACTTTATAATTAGTGTCATACAATCTTTTTAAATGTAAATAAATTTACAGTTAACTAAATAAGTAATAAATCTAATGTATAACTGTTTTTAAATTAAATATTAAGAATGTCTAACTCAAACTAATTATTTATACTATCTCACTTTTAAGATCTAACAAAATCTTTTAACATAAAAAATAAATTGATAAAATATTAAACATATTTCTTTTTTTTGGTTTTGTTTTTTAATTGTTGGATTAGGTCAAATATTTTCAATGATGGACCTACTTTGTTTCCCGTCATATGAATTATCTCTTCTTTGGTAAGATTTAGCAACTGTTTACCATTGACATTCTATAAAATGGTTTAATGTTAATAAATATTACTAAATTATAGTTAAAAATTATAAACTGGATAGTAATCAATAATAAAACTTCAATATGATACTAACAAATACACCACAATATGCTGTACAATGATTACATGTTAAAAATTGTGAAACATCTCTTTCACTCCATGTCTCAGCATCTCTTTCTAAAAATGATTTATCAGATGATTCTTCTTTTAAAGTAGCCACATTCTGGATACACAAAGACATAATTAATACTCTAACTTCAAAATATATAATTCAACAAATTTAGAGGTGAATATTATTAAATATATTAATGATCACTTTAATAGAATATAAATAAAATTATAAAAGTTTTTCTATTTTTTATTTATACAACATGATTATTAAGCATACTACCTTCTATTTTTCTTTAAATGTTTTTTTTTTATAAAAATTTAACTTATTTATATAAACTATTTACTACAAGAAAAATCATTACTATGAATATGTTTTAGGGGTAACTTTTGAAAGTACCCTTAGAAAAAATGTTTTTTCACAATAAACATTATATTTACAATGGTTCATAAAAATAATGTTAATTTTAATCTATAAGTTTTTACTAAAAAAATCATTATTTAACAAAAAAAAGAAAATATGCTTAATAAACTATCCTATATATAAATATATATATACTCTTATAACTTTTGATACAATTTACATACATTAGGCTATAATTGTTTTTTATTTTTGATAATTCATACATTCTATGTTAAAATCTTAATTATTAATATTTTTTTTTTTCAAAATTTCAAAACAGTTAATATTTAAGCACTTCTATACAAAAAAGTTGAAGAGTTGATAAAAATTTTAGGACAAGTAATTTATATTAATTTAATTTAAGTAATGTATTGCAAGTGCAGTATAAAGTTTTATTTATAAGTTATAAATATACAACAGTATAAGCTGTACCTACTCTATAAATTAAATGCAATCAACTCAAAAATTACATGTCCTAAAATTGTTATTAACCCATCAAAAAATATTTTGTAAGAAAAGTGTTTAAAACTTAAAAATATTTAAAATTAAAAAAAAATCATTTTTATTATTAAAAACAAATAATAAAAAAAACTTACACAAGCTATTGGTAATGACTGATCAGGCCCAAACGGTTCTGCTGCTGACACTGGACTTCTTTCACAATTAGATGAAATTTTATTGTTTGCAGCCCATGATTGGCACAACTATAAAAAAAATTTAACTAAAAATTATAAAAAATTATTTTAATTCATACTTACATCAAATGTAGAATAACAAGAAGTAGTAGGATTTGTAATCAAATTTAATGAAGGTATTTTTTTTACAACTATTCTTTTCTTAGACTTTTTACTTTTTGATTTACTCGGTCGTGTTTCTAAAAAATTGGTTAATCTAAATTTATTTAAAGTCAATCTAAAACATTAATCTTATTGATCGGTTTTTATAACATCATTACCATTTATAAATTGTTTTATTGGACCTTCTAGTTTATAGCCCACAAGTTCACACCAACCTACAGGAAAGATATCAGGTGAACAACAATCAAGCCATTGGTTAAAATCATTTTCCCATCCATCAAAATGTACTTCAATGAGTCTTCCTGCGAGTCTCGCTATGGTTGCCACACAAACTAAATGTGGATTCATTAAATCTGTGCATTCAAGTTTCATACCAATTTTAAATTCATGTTTAGGCACTTCCTAGGTAATAAATTGTAACTTAATAAGTTTAAATCAGTTCATTAAAGGTTAAGCAAATATATTTGGAAAAGATACAAATTTTAAACTATTTTGGAATACACAAAAATAGCAATTTAAAAAAAAAAATTAATTTATGTGTTGTTGATGTGTTAACTATCAAATATTAATGCATCTTAAGAATATCAATCTAAGTTTTTTAAATATTGTTACATTATCATGCATGATTTATAATGTATCAATGTAAGCATACAAATAATGCTATAAATTAGTAAAAAATTAAAAACAAAAAATATAAATTTGACAGTATTATAAATTAAATAATTTTAATTTTTTATAATATTGTGTTATAAACTCAATTTACACATTTTGATTGTTTGACTATTATTGCATTTAGTCTCTCATTTAAAACTTTTAACTTTGATGCAAAGCTGAGAAAGTATTAACTTTACTATGATGAATTTTTTTTTTGTGTCTATTACCACTTTTCTTTAGCTCTCACCGAAAAGATTTCTTTCAATGGTAGGTCAAAAGATCACAAATCGTATCTAGTCAAAGACATTACCCTCAAAATTTGAAAAAATTTCCCATTATCAAATAAAAAAGGTGCTCAACCAGCTTTCTCCACACAATTGAAATCATTCATTTCTAATATTTTTAAAGTATTTAATGTCAAAGTAGGTTTGATATAATAATAGGTTTCATCTATAAAATTAAATAATTTTTCTTTGTAATTTATTATTAAGTTATATCCTACAGTTTTTAACTAATTAGTAATAATATAAAAAATTATTGATGATAGAAAAAATATAATTGCTGATTTGAAATTGACACGAAAAATTGAATATTAAAAGTATATTTTTGACTCTGATGAAAATTTTTTGCAGATCATTTATTCAATTCATTTAATTAACAGCAAATTATTATCTAAAAAGTTTTGTGTCAATCCCTTCAATTTTTATATACTTTTGCTATGAGAGCCAACTTGTATGAGAGCCAACTTTTTATAAATTATAATCAATATGTTTATCATTTGACCACAATCAATTTTTGAGTGAAGTATCACTATGTTCTAGTATATTTACCAAATCAAAAAGATAATCAGGGGCAGCAATACTGCCAGATTGTTCCAAGTATTTTTTCCATGTAAAAGAATCCCCATAATTATGAGGAGGTTTCAAATTTATTTCATGAGCATCACAAAATCCAGCTGGCATTATACTAGCAGATTTACAGTGATAGCAAAACCAATCTTTAGAAGAACTGTTGTAAAAATCTATAGAAATCATTAAATAGCCATCATTTAAAACCTAGAATTAAAAAATTAGATATTAAGTATATATTTAACTTTATTGTGATAAGTATAAAATAAAGTCTATTTACCTTCATGACTGTTGCCACACAAATTGTAGCAAGATTTAAAGGATCAATAGCTTCTAATTTCATTCCTACTTGAAATCCAGATTTATAAGGTATTGATATAGGGAAAAGATCTTCTGTTGCATCATCTTTGTCACGTAGTCCTTTAGACGTTCTATCCTGATATTCATCTGGTGCACACAAATTATGACCTACTCGTCCAGCCCAACCAACAGGATGAATTAAAGGTGAATTTTCATGAACCCAAAATACTAAAACATAAAAGTTTATCATTTTAAATGTCTATTTATTTTAAAATACAATAGTTTACCTTGCTCTTCATTGTCATAATATCTTAATTCTAACCGTTTACCAATTATGTTTAAAATTTTAGCTACTTTTACTTGAGATATATATTCTTTGTCAACCAATTCTAATGTTAAATCATTTCTGGAAATACAATTTTTTTTAATTTAAGAATTCTTTGAAAAAATCATACTTTACTATAAATTAGTTTATAAATTATTTCAATCTACCTAAATTTTGATTTTAATGACTCAAAAACTTTTGTACTGAAATTAGTTGGAAGAGTTCGTGCTCCAGTCAAACATTTGACTAAGTAGTCTTTCCAATCATGATGTTTGGATTGAATAGCTATAAAATTGTTTTAAAGTTGAACTATAATATAAAATATAAACTTAAACTATAACAAAAACATTTTAAATTAAATTTATTATAGTTTTTAAAACTACTTTTATATAATTGGTTAAATTTTTTTATAATATTTTCATAGTTTAAAAAGTTTTTTTTAAATAACATAAATAGAGCAAAATTTTAACAAATATTGTAAGATTATCTTATTATGTAATTCAATGGAATAAAAAAGATATTAATTTGAAATTATTAATTCATTATTATTTTTTTTTAATAAATAAATAGAGAATTTTTATGAATTTTATTAATAAATATAATAAATATTAGGGCACATTGACTTTATCATTATAAATTAGTTATCTTAAATGTACGAATTTGTATTTTTTTGAATAATATTATTATAGTTTCAGTGTTTTGGTTCTAAATAAAAAAAAAATTATAAGTGCTATTTATTTATTGTTTTAAGACATAACTGAAAACAATTTTTTTTTCTTTTCAAAAATAATATTTAAATTTTTACAAAATAAAACATCATTATCTTTATCACTATTATATAATAGGGATTTTTTTTTTAGGCTCAATAATTTCATTTTATTTTTCAGATTGAGTTTCTACCAGTTATTGCTGTATATCTTCTATTTGTCTCATACATTTCTTTATTTATGTTTCGTTAAAAATAGGAATAACAACAATATCATAATAAAAAACTTAATCCAATAATAGAATTTTGTATCAAATAATACCATTTTTCATCTTATTTCAGTTTTATACTTCATGATATATTTTAATGCCAAAAATGTTTAGATGATTTTCACAAACTGTTTTTGGCCTAATATCAAATAATATGTATTTTATAACAAAGTGACCAAAATTCAAACAGTTGTTTTTTTTTTTTTAAATTTTTTTTGTCGATTATCACAATATGTCAAAAATAATCCATATTGTCAGAAAAATGATAAAATTCAGTGATATCAATATTGTAGAAAAATCCTAATAAATATATACATAAATTAAATATTAATATAACAACTTTTATAATATATTTTTAATTAATAACATTTTAAATATAATTATGATGCAAAAAAACTTAAAATGTTTTCATTACAGCATATTTTCATTATTATTTCAATATTAATTCCCTTATTAATAATGCTTGTTTTTAAAACTTAAAACAAAAATAAAATGAATGTTAATAATGTTGTATATTATACTAGAATATTATACTTAAATAAAATATTTTTTTCGTTCTTTAAGTTTAAAAGCTATAATATAAACTTACATTTAGGAGGTATTAGTGGTTTACCCCTTGTTGCACACCATCCAACAGGATGAACTAGAGTAGAACATAAATTCACCCAAAAATCACTAGTGTCGTCTGATTCATAACCCTCATATCTTAATTTTGCTTTATACCCTATATATATATATATATATATCACAAATAAAAATCAGTACAATTTTAACTGCTATCTACATAGGATTACATTTAAATATTTATAAATTATGATAATAAATTTGTGTTGTTTGCTACCAAGATAATGTATTTTAAGTTAAAGTTGTAATTTACCTGAAATATAAACTATTGAAGCAACCCAAAAATAATCTGGAAATTCTTCACTAAAATTATCACAATCAGTATTGACTACTTCTACTTTAATACCAACAGCCATGTCGTCCCAACAATCTGACATTGGAGCCTATATACAAACCAATATTCCAATTATTTTTCATTATTACATAAATAATAATACTGGAAAAAATTTTGAAAAACTATTTCACATTTTTTCATCAAGTCTTATAAATTGACATGGATTACTATTTTTGTAAAATAAATATGACATGTCTCTCATCTGATTTTTATACAATAAAGGTAATTATAATTAATTTTTACAAAATAATTAATCCATATAAAAAAGATATTATCAAATGAAATTGATTTGAAATAAAATTATAAATCAACACTTAAATTTTATTTATTACTATCTAATTTAATTTTACATCTTAACTTATAGCTCTTAAGTATTATTGTAATTTTCTATTATTAATAAAATAACATATCTCACATAAGGAAAACAATGTACAGGGGCAGCTTGAAAACTGCTACAGTTTAATGCTTTGATCCAGTCATAAGTTTGCTGCAATGGTTGGCATGGTCTCTTGTCAGGAGGATACAGAAGATCATCATCTGTAGGATATGTCACAAAAGATATTGATTCATCATCTGACTCTTTGTCAATGATTGATTGTTGTGTTGTTGTTTGATTATTTGGAACAGGATTAAGAAAATTATTGATGTCTGGATTAACCTAAATTGTCAATAAATATAAAAATGATCAAATAAGATAAATTATTGGGTAGCAATTATAATTACCGAATCATTCAATGATGATTTTACAATTGGTTGATTAGATAATGAAACCATATCATGTTCTTCTGAAACAGATTGATCTGTTGATTCACCTAGAGCTTCAGATTTTTCTAATGCAGCTTTTACGCAAGCCTGACTACAGTAATTCCTAAGTTTTGTATAAAATGAATGTTTGACACCTATTGCTCCACAGTTTTCACAAACGGCTAAAATGTAGCATAAAATAAATAAAGTTAATTGTAACAATACAAAATAAAGAAGATAGTTTTAAGTTTAATTTAAATTTTTAAAAATCACCTCTTCCTTCTTTTTCAATAGGTAGCATATTAGGATCAGAATCTCTTTGATATGCAATGGGAGTCTTTAACTTAAGTGCAGGATTCAGTACAGGTTTAATTTTACGAGAACTTGAGCCATGTACTCTTTTCTCAGTTATAAAACTTTCATTTATTTGATTTTCTTCATTATTTTTATAGTTCCATGCACCAGAAGTATTTTCAATATCTTTTGACTGCTCATAAAAAACATAATTGTTTAAGTCCTAAAATCAATGAAAAATTAAAAAATATAAACAATATGGAATGATACAATGTGCTACTATATAAAAAAAAAATGCGCTAAAACCTTTATAATTGATACACTACCAGTACTCTCTATTCTGAATTTTAATTTATATTTTAGAATATGAAATACTATTACATTACTACTTAAGAAACCCATGTTATATAAATTTATTCCTGAGTCTAAGTTCAATATTATTACTTTACAGGAGAAGTAAAGAAACATTTTTTTTCTTTTCATAAGACTACAAAAACTACTAATTTAATTTATCCATATCTATATTAATGTTTATCATTTAATATAAATGAAGATAAAAAGATGATAAAATTTCACATAGTAAAATACCAATAAGTGAAATTTGATAAAAGTGGACTAAACCCTTCTGGTTCTCAGCAACAAAAATGTATGTTATTAACTTAGAAGTATAAAATTGAACACCTTCATTTTATATTTATTCTTGTTTATTAGATTTGGACTTCATATGAATGTGATAAAGCTTTCGTGGATTGTCGTATTGCTTGAAATGTTTACAGATATAACCATGTTTTCAATTATCATCTGATAACTGAAAAACAATTACATCCGTAAACATTTCAAGCAAGATTTGGACTTGTCATAATACTTTAGGACACTAATAAATTAATTCATTCAGTTACACTTTTGTTTTATAATTGACACCACTTGTAATCAACAAGTTCATTATAACAATTCTACCAGCCTGATAAAAATTTGATTCACTAGATTATAAATTGCAGTAGTAACAGTCAATTTTAGTATAAAATGAGCTATAAATATTGGATATATTTTATAAATATATTACTCACAATTCTAGATTGTAAAGTTTCTAATGGTGGTATTGTATTTTCATAAAAAACAGGATCAATAGCTGTTGTTCCTAAAGTATGTTCATTTTGAGATTGAGACATGTAAACATCATTCCCATTCATCCATACAAAATTCATATGATCTAGAGAAATATTTTTAATTTATTTAAATGGATCAAGACAAAACTTAATAGTTATTTAGTACAATTAAAATTAAATAACATAAAGTTATTATAAAATAAGTAATCAAAGTCAAAATAATAATAGTTTACTAAATTATAATTTGACATGTGTTTTGTACGACTTACAGTTCCAAATAATTAATAAGTGTTTTTTATTTCACAAATATATATATATTCATACTTCTACACAGACTAACATTAATAACATATACAGGTTAACACACTTGTATAAATAAATATGAGAAAGAGTGTACATGATAATTATGATAGTATAAAAATTTCAAGAAAATTTTACTTAAACTACAATAATTAAAATGAAGATATGTGTTGGTTGAAAATTACACATAAATTCTTCAAGCTACAACTTAATTAGTTTAAATTATTGTGAATTTTTTAAAAAAGATAATAAAAATATTAAGGTAATTTTTAATCTTTCAAATGTAATAAAAAAAAAAATTATATGGAGTAAATTTTCTATAATTCATCAATAATTGGATTTAATTCAATATTTAAAGGTGTAATTTAGTTATTAAAAGAATTTAAAAAAGTAAAGTCAGTAAACATTTGAGTTTTTCTATATAAATTGTTATGTAAGCAGCAAAATTTGTTATATGCTTTAAAAACATGTAGATAGCAATTATACATAAGATAATCAATTATTAGAAAACACAGAATTATACATCATGTATAAAAAATAAAACATTAAAAAAATTAATTATTATCATTAATAACAATCTTAAAGAGTTATGTTTATTTTATAAAATATTTATACGCATTAAATTAATATTACCTTCGTGAACAGGATAGTCCATAATTGTTTTGTAAAGAAATCATTAATATAGTCATATATTGTATTGTTCATAAAAACATGTTTTAGATGGTAAGACGACAGTTAATAGATACAGAACTAGAAATTATAAATTTAATTGATATTAAACGAAATCATGAGCAAATTAAATTAACAATAGTAGTAATCAAAAAGAAAAACACGACCTAAATACAAAAAAAAATTGAGGAGAAAAACAAGGAATTATTACAAAAACATACGCTTGTCCTGGATGATAACAATGTGTTCGATGAAAATTGTAGGAGAAGTGGGGTAAAGCGGCTGTTAATAACAAAACAGTGGATAGCATACGTTGATAAAACCAAAGATAACGCGAGTAACGCGGCAATCTCGTACCTTGGTTAAGATAATTTTCGTCGAAACCGTTGTGCTTAGAATTATTTATATATTTAATTACCCTAAAAACTTAAATTACAAATTGCATCACATATTATTTAATGAACTTAATTAAAGTAAAACTATGTGTTTTGTTAATAATGCCAATACCTAATTCTAGGTTGACTTGTTTTTAAATTTAACAGTCATATAAATAATATTAATAATCAATAAATTGAAAGTTATAGTACGATAATACTGAAAATGGATATATTTAATAATTAGAAAATTTGGTGTATAAATATATATCTCCCCACAATTGATTATAATATACTTTATTATCGTTGTCGTCTTGCAAAAAATGACCAAGTGAAAATTTTTTATTTTATAAAAAATAATTGAAGGATAAAAAACTTTTTTTTATTTAAATATTTAGTAATATAGAATTCTTGTCTTTTTCTCTTTTAATAGTTTTTATTAAGTTTTTGAAGTATTTAGATGATAAATAAAATAAAACTATTTGGTCGCATTGTATACAAAATACACAATTGATTCTAAAAACGAGAAAATTTATGACCAAACAAATTTAATCAATCAATTAAATAAACAAAACTAAATTTCAAGTATCTGTTTGGCATTGATGAAAATATTGTTTTCAAAATACCTTTATCAGCTGTTTTTTTTAATGATTTTTGTGATATAGGGTTAGTATAACTTATTTTTTTTTTAATTAATTAACTTTAGTAAAGTTTAATACATCATTTTTGAGGTTTAACTTAATTATTTTTTTTAAATTAACTAATTTTATTATTTTTAATAAATATCAAACAAAGAAAATAATTAAGTAAAGAAAAAAATTGTTTAAAATAATTTTTATTTTTGTTTTATGTAATGTTTGCTAGTATATTATAGAAATTATTTTTTTCGTTCGTTTATTAATTTGGAAATTAGCTATTTTTAGTATCTCCAATTTTATAAAAAAATTATTAATCCCCATTTCTATTGAACATGAGATTTTTAATAACCCTAAACTGTAAAAGAAATCTTAATTATTCTCTTTGGTATCGTAAATAAAATTTAATAACAATGATATGTTCAGGATTACTTTATTAATCACGCCAATAAAACAATAATTTATAACAATACTAAATTAATTTTATTGAATTTCAGCATATAGTTCGCTATTAAGTAAATTTTTTAAATGATTTAGGAAAATGTATTTTATTAAATAGATTTATTAGTCAAGGATAAGCCACTATTTGTTTACAACGGTAGAGATAATAGAGGCATTACAAACGACGTTAAGTATTACGTTGTCATATGAGTATATTTTTTCAATAATATCAGTTGTCTTAAGAACTCTTTGATTATTTTTGTTTATATTTTAGATACATATAATAATAGAGCACCTTATTTATTTCATACTTCTTTGATTTAAAAGCATTTAAACGTTTCCACCATTAGACTTAATATAAATTTAAATTTAAAATTAATGATTACTTACAAATAATTATTTATTAACAGTGAACCATAACATTAAAGTAATTAAAATTTTGTTCACTATGTGTATAACACAAATACCAAGGTGTACAAATATTGTGAATACATTTTTTTATCTAATAAGCCAAGTAAAATTATTACTTATACTCTAAAATATAAAAATTATAAATATTCGTATTAAAATTACAATTTCATATAAATAATTTATGTTCATACTTTAAAATAGTAATCAATTTAAAAAAAATAAAATTAATTGACTGCTTTAAAAATATTTTATTTTTAAGTTAAATGTAATATAAATTCCGTGGAGACAATTTTAACAAAATTTTTAGAAAGCCTTATTATGTCTTATTACCTCTTCTTTAAAATAATTTTCGTATAATACACATAGAATTTCTGAAATTTTAGAGATTTAAACTCCCCTAATTTGTACTTATGTTTAACTTTTAAATAAAAGTCAATGCATATAATTTAACGTAAAATATTTTTGCAATTACTATACTTGCGAATTAACATAGACAGAATTTTTTAATAGGACAGAGTTAAGGAGCTTATTACCTACTCTTACTAGCGAAAAAGTCTTACACTGTATATAATCATAAGAGAAGAATTATGTAATTCATTATATGAACTATATAATTGCATACTTCATATATTCTATTTGTTATTATATGAATTAATAAACTATTTACTTTAACAAGAAATTGTCGACCTGCTACAATGTTATGTTATTGTGACCTAAGATAAATTAAATTGTTACATATGTTAAAGAATTTGGAACAATAATGAATGTTTAGGCATAATTTATTCAAAATATTATTCATCGATTATGCTCATCATTTACATATTTATATTACCTGATAAGATTATATGTATACAGAGTGAATCTCATAAAACTTTTATAAATAATTTTGTTAAATTGATACTGAGAAACTATTAATTTTACTATAATGTTTTTTATGGTATGTCTATTACCAATTATTCCATCTTTTATTGAACCGATTTTTATTAACGATAAAAATTACAAATTGTACTTAGTTGAAGCCATTACCATCGAAAATGTGAAAAATTCCCTCGTTCTTAGATAGTGCGGAATCCTCAAAAAAAAATATGATCTTTGAAATCGGTAAATTTTGAAAAATTTTAAACTCTTTTTACTTATAACTGCTAACATTTTATGAAAATTAATGAATTAAAGCATTTTTTTTTTAAATACCTTATGTATTTCCCTATTATTAGATTTATATTTTTTTAGAAATCTTACCCTTTAATTGATCTTAGGGGGATTCAAAATGGCCTAATTGCAAAAAGTTAACTTTTTAAATTTAAATTTGAAAATGTTCCCGAAATCCTGGCAACTTTATAAGTATCTTAAATTAAAACTTATGTGATACATTATATTAAAAAATAAATAAATTTGACCTTAGGGCTTGTATTCGTAGTTTTATTATATTGGTAAAATAAAATTATGAGCATGTGAAATTAATTTATCAAGCCATTTATTCTGTAAAGTTACACATTTTTTAAACCAACTACAACTAGTCAATAAAAATCATTAACTTCCGCAGCCTTGCTTATAATTTAATACGCTTTTTCCATGGAAGTAACGAAATATATAACAACTTTATATGTCTTCGTAAAAATTACAATACTAAATTTAATTACTATAATGAGTATTGTTATCATTACTCAGCATTTCATGTTATCAAAAGTTTTTTTTATTAATTAGTAAGGTAAACGATGGCACACACAATACTATTAATTTTATTTTCTATTTTATCAATATTACATTATTAAGAAGTTATAGTACTTTAACATAACATTTATCTGTTATAAAATATGTTTGTGTTCATCCTTTATACGTGACAAAAATGTCAACTTTATTTTTTCTAATAGAAACATATTTAATTAATTAGCTTAAAAAATAGAAAATACTGTAATTAATAAAATTATTGGTCGATAACCACTTTTGGACTAGTATTTTAAAAATTATTAACATTTTTATAACTAGACAAAAGGAGGAGTAAGGCCGAGAATACTTTAAATTGTTAATAACTTTTGAATTACTGGTCTAAAAGTTATTATCGACCGGTAATTTTTTTTTTTTTTTTTGAACATATTGTAATTTTATTTTATAATAAAAAGAAAACAGATAAATACACATGCAACTAATAAAACCCGAAAAAAAATTGATCAAAAAATTATTTTTTATAAGAAATCGAGTGGTTAGTATTAAAAGAATCACTGTAGGTTAAAATATTTATTTACAATAAGTTCCTTAAAAAAGTGTTATTTTTGAAATAAAATAAAAAATTGTTTTGTTAAAATCATAATGCATTATAAGATTATTTCTTCTATTTTCAATACATTTACTTAATTAGCTATTGATTAAATTAAAAAGTAGTAAGTTCTACACGAACTTATGAAGCTATTTCATTAGGAACTTATATTGATAATAGATTATTTCTCTAGTGTTTTGAAAATTATGATTCTTTACCTTGAAATAACTTTATAACTAATCGTTAACTATTTGAGATTTCTTTGATACAGCGTAGTATTAGTTCTAAAATTTAAATTTAAGTTTAATTTTAAGTTGAATGTAAACTGAATTTTCTAGGTACCTGTTTGATTCATACAAATTATATATATATATATATGTGATAGCATTGATATTATCAGTAAGCTGATTACTTCTCTCGTTATTAATTTATTTGACCATATTTAAAGATCACTTGTTAGTGAACTCACCTTAATAATTAACGTTAAATGTAGTCTTGGTCATTAACAATTATTTTTAAATATACAAATGAGTAATTTTGGTTGTTAGTGTATCTATTTAAATAAGAAATGGATCTTTTAAAAATCGCCAAAAGCAATTTAAGAAAAGAACTTAAATGGAAATTGTCAGAAATGACTGCCAAAGAAATAAATGAACAATCTAAAATCATAACTAATAAAGTATGTATGAAATCATATAAAATTAATAATGAAATTAAATTTTAAAATATTATTGCCTGAAATTGATTTTTGTATGATTGTTTTAAATTTTTTAAATACTCATTTGGCTATAATTTGTATGAAATTAACCGAAAGTACTAATTTTATATACCTTACATTAATTTTGTTGTTGATATTCTATAAGGGTTTAATAATTAAATATGTTAACATTTTTTAAAAATTCTTGAAAAATATTAAATTGCCATGAAATTATTAAAAGTTTTTTGTTTATTTAATTTAAAAATAAAAATTATTATTTTGTATTTCTTTAAAAAAATGCTTCTAAAAATAGACAACTAGGTTGTTTTATCTATACTTTCAATTAGAATTATTTTACTATTAATAAGAAAAGAACAAATCAATTTTTTTTTTATAGTTTTAACAACAAAATAATTTTAAAATATAAAGATAATATAATTATTACAGTTAATAATAAGGACATTTGTAAAATTAATATATAATTATCTACTTTATCTTTTCTTTCAGTGTAAATATATATTTTTAGTTATTTAAAAATTATACCTAATAGAAGATTTAAAAAAAAATTATGTTTTTTTTTAAATTATTACAAGCTAATATTTTTGCAATATCATAAAATAGTAGACAACAGAAATATATCATAATTATATTATATAATTGATTTTACTATAATAGTGCTTACAAAAAAAAAAATTTTTATCCCCCTTATATTATATCAAAATATTGCATATTTCTTTTAGTTAAAGATTAATCTATAATGGCACAATACAACTGTCTTTTGTTAGTTCGATGTTAGTAGCTCCGGGCCGCAGACGAGTAAAATTGTCACATTAGCATCTCCCTCTATGCTAATTAATATGTATTACGAATTAAGTAAATGGAAATTGGAAGTAAAATAAATGAAGGATTAATATAGGTTAAAAAGGTTGCTTGAGTAAAATGGCACATTTGTTCATTTTTAAAATTTCTGCTTTAAAAAAAGTAAATGTTTTACAATATAAAGTGGTAATTGAAAATTGCCTTATTTTAAATAGTCTTAAAAAAGTAACTTAGAACCATAAGTTGTTAATAATAACTAGTAATAAGTATTATGTTTGTTGTTGCATAATTTAAAATATTTTCTAGGTACTGGACAATCCATTATACAAAAATAGTAAAAGAATATCAGTTTATTTAAGCATGAATAGTGAAGTTCAAACTATTGATATTATTAAAAACATTTTTGTTTCTGCCAAATCTTGTTTCATACCAAAGTATATTTTTTACTTTTAATTTTTGACTATTTTCATTACTTTAGTTTAGTTTTAGTTTTAGTTATTATCGAGATGGACACTTAGACCTGTTGGTCCATTGTGCATTTTTATTACTTAATAGTTAAAATTTATTATTATTTTAACAGGTATAGAGAAAATGGTATGAGTATGGTAAAAGTCAAGTCAATCAACGATATTAAAAATTTACCAAAAACTAAATGGAATATTTCACAACCTGCAGATAATGATATAAGAGAAGATGCTTTACTTACAGGTATTTTTTTTTTAGTTTTAGTTTTTATTGAGATGGACATAATGACCATGCACTCAGACCTGCTGGTCCATTGTGCGCACCTCATACTGAATTGTCTTGATTCGGTTTACCCACCTAAGTGTTATCACTGAAGTGTTGTTACATTATACCTATCATTGTATAAGGGTAGACCATCAAGTCACCCCTATGGATTACCAAAAAGTCCTGTCTTTCCGGCGAAATTAAGTATCTCTCTGGGTCTTAGGTTTTTAATATCTTCTTTTTCAAGAAAAGATTTACTCAAGTAGTTTGATCTTAGTGTGGACAAGGCTTCACATTCGCACATAATGTGAAATGAGTCTTCCTCTTCTACTCCACAATTTCTGTACAATGGTGATTTCAATACCACCATTGTATAAAGATGTTTAAGCAAGTGACCATGTCCTGTCAGTAGACCAGCCAAAGTGCTTATTTGATGTCTATTCATGCTATTAAGATCACCTAGCAGTACACCAGGGTCTTGATAAACATTTTAGATTGTCTAGGTACTGAGTACTTCCAGATTTTCCTGTGTTGTTCTCAGCACCAATTCTTAGGTAGCACTTTGAGCTATTACTCCGTGAGTCCTCCCATCTGTTCTAGTTCAACATAGGTGTTCTTTGCTGCTTTCCTGGTTAGAAAATCAGCATTTTCATTTCCAGTGACACCGTTATGTCCTGATACCCACGGCTAGTGTAATTTTGATGAACCTCAATAGTGATTCAAAAGTTTCCCTGCATTCGAGGACAAGCTTTGAATTCACCCAATCATTACAAAGTGCTTTCAAAGTCGCTTGATTGTCACTTAAAATAGTTATTTTCTTATTCTTATATATCAGCAGGTTCTGAATCCCTACTATTATCGCCATCACCTCTGCTTAGAAAACAGAGGGTGTTGTGCCCAATGACATGCTAACATTTATTTGTGGCTTTAGACCCCAAATGCCAGTACCTACCTTACCTGATTTTTTGGATCCATCTGTATATATTACAAATCCTCCTTTTTCAGTCAGGTAGTTAATATTCTATTTTCTACGTGTAATGATTTCCACTTTGCAAGGAATGTTATTCTTAAGAATCGGTTTGATATAGTCCAAGGGGTATTCCAAAAAGCCCTTGTCTATCTCTTTTATTATTTTATCATGTTTTGCTGTGTTACTTTCCAAAGTCCAAGTACCTAAGTTTTGGAATCTTAGTGCTGTGGCTTTGACGTGAGCTTTAACTTCTAGATGCAGAGGTGGCAATCCGATAAGTGCCTCTAATGCGACCATTGGTGTAGTTCTTAATGCTCCAGTGATGGCTATGGCAGCCATTCTCTGTATGTGACTTAGTTCTTTTCTAGCTGTAACGAGTGCTGTTCTGGTCCACCAGACTAGGGCACCATACAATATCATAGGTGTAATCACTGAAGTGTACAACCAATACATAACTCTTGGTTTAAGACACCATGTCTTTCCCAAGGCTCTGCTGCAAGTCCACAGTGTGGTCATCGCTTTTTTGATTGTTGACTCAACATGTGATTTCCATTTTAGCTTATTATCTAAGATAATACCTAAGTATTTTACTTCCGATTTTAAGCTAATTTCTTGTCTATTTAGAGTAAGAGTGCTAAGACTATCTAGTCCTGTTCTCCTTCTAGTGAACATAACAACCTCTGCTTTATTTGAATTAACAGATAGACCATACTTACTACACCATATATGTATAGGGTTTAGTCTTTGTTGTGCTAAGTCTATAATAGTGTCTGGGAATTTACCCACTAACTGATATAACTAAGTCATCCACATAGGTTTGCGTATAACTAAAACTATAGGTATTTTAAAAGTCAAAACTTATTTTAAATATTTTTATTCAAAGTGATTGTTTTGTTGTTGATCACTAAATTTTCCTACAATTAAAAAAAAATTCTGAGAATTTTTTTCTTGATTTTATTAAGTAATATTTGTTTCTTGATTTATCAATGAGTAAATATTTTTTAGTTTCATTTATACTTTATAATTAAATTAACCTAATTTTTTTTAATGGCTTAATATTATATATTTATACATATTTAATTTGTTTATATAATAGAAAATGACTGGTCAATAACAAGTTTCGAATTGATTTTGATAAAGATTGGAAGTGAGGTTTATATTAATTTTACCATCAAGCACATTTTTCTATTATGTTAGTCCTCTCACCTAAGTACAAAAATTTTTATAATCCAGGAAATATGATTGGTTTTGTAAAGGTAGATAAAATGAATGAAAAAAAAATACCTTGGGCAAAATCAAATTTTTATAATTATTTTAACAAAATGAATGAATTCATAATTTAATAGAAAAAGTAAACAAATATAATTTACAATTTTCATTATCATTAGTTAAATTAATACATTTTCATAACTAAAAATAAATAGGTCCTTCACAAATAGCTCTACAGAGAAATTGTTTTAAATACAGTATTAATTATCAATATATTAATAATAACTTTAAGTAAAGACTCAAAACAAATGTTAAGCTCACTTGATATATTTTCATATGAAAAGTAAAAATTCTGCAATTGTATCTTGATATATCTTATTATACATTGATATTGAAATATTGTAAATATTTTATATCATATATAAGATATTATTATCAAAAATATCAATATTATACCAATATGTTACCAATATCGATATAGTATCAAAATTTTGATATCATTAAAGAATCCTATTAGATAGAAAAATGAATAATACTATGATTTTATCAAATTTACCCAATAGATCAATCATTTTTTTAAAGTTAATTCTGTTACAAAATCATTAACTGCTTCACCTTGAGGTTTGATGAAATAACAATTGAAATAGTACACACAAATAAAGCAAAAACAATTCATTATTAACATTAATTATGTTTTGTAAGAACTGGTCTAAGACATGCATTAATTTGGAATAATTTCGTATTGTATTATAAAGTTATAATTTACTAGGTTTTGTCCATTTTACCCACTTTTGAATAGTTACAAGACAAAATAACTTCCTTGTAATTCTTGAACTACTAGTTCAAAAGATGTTATTAACCAATCATTTTCTTAATTAGATCATTTAAAGATAGTAAATATATGTGTTACTATTTAAAAAAATTAAATTAATACCACTTATAAGGGATAATGAGTTGACCTAAAAAATATTGAACCACTCATAAATCGAAAATAAATACTACTCAACAAAGCCAAAAATAAATGTTCAACATTTCAATTATTTTAGGAAAAATCTAGTGATATATGATTATTCATTTTCCTTGTATACCATTTTTCATTTGCCTCTAAAAAAATGGCTTCTTTTTTAATAAATTGTTGTATTAATATTTAATTTCAATACTTTGGTATTCATTTAATTTACCTTGGTGATTTCTTTAGTTTAAAATTATTATTAAAATTATAAATTATAATTATTAAATTATTATTTCTTTAGTTTAAAATTATTATTAAAATTATAAATTATAGATTGCTTTTATTTTTTAGGAGGATTAGATCTAATTATTTTGCCAGGATTAGGATTCTCAAAAGATGGAAAACGTATAGGCCGAGGAAAAGGTTATTATGATAAATGTATTAAATCTTACAAAGAAATATACCCTAAAAATAATTTAATAACGATTGGATTAGCATTCAGACAGCAAATTGTTGTAGAAATTCCAATGGCAGACCATGATAGTGTATTAGATTTAGTAATTTATCCAGATATGGATTGATTTTTTATTATTTATTGTTTTATGAGTAAATAAAAATAAACAATGTTTTCTAAAAAGTATTTTTAAAGTCTGTTACTATTTATTTATTTATATTTTATATGTATAATTGGGTATTTCTAGTAATAAATTTTATCAAAATAATTTTTAAATATTAAAATATATCTCTAATTGACCATTATTTTAAATTATTTTTTTAGAAAAGTTAAAAATAATTATTTAATGTCTACATGATAGAATGCTGTAATGATTGATTTAACTTAACTTAATTACTTGAAAACTATATTTGTGTAAAAATCATATAAAAGACATTTATAGTTTAATTTCTGAGCGTTAATTACATACTAATATCAATAGTATATGGATATAAATAATTACAATAATAATATAAAATAACACAATACATTAAGTTAATTTATTATATAGCCGAGGTACTAAATTAACAAAACATTATTCATAAAATTATGAAAGATACATTAGGCATTAATATAAAATAATGAACAGAAATACATCATGTGTATTACGTTTCACAATATCCTATAAATAAATATTTAAACAAAAATTGTAGATAATTTTATAAAATAACGAAAATGAGATACATATTATATGATATCAAACCAGAACTATTTTTAACAGCACTGGCATTAATTTAGTATAGTCCACAAAAAGGGAATGACACATGATACATTGAAATATTTTTAAATATGATATTATAGTTTTGTAATCGATCACAAACATTCAAAGAGAGCCAAACATCTTTTGTCCTCTGGATAGAGCAAGACTAACAGTGACAACGGACACTAAAAACATTATTAAACCTAATAACGCAGTTATAACTCGACACCAACAGCGTTGTTTCTTTCCGACTTTCATCTTTTGCATTAACTTCTCTGCCTGTTGTGGATCCAACGTAAATTGAAGTCCGCGCAATACTGCTCCGCAATCCTAGAAAAAACAATTGCGATGTTGGTGAAATTATTGAAGACAAAAATTATGACACTTATACTTAGTAGGAATTGTCAGGGGGATATATGAACAGTTAAATGAATCGTTTAAATAATAATTAAATACTTGAGTGCGATAACATAGACTCAAATATTAACAATGATGACACGGGGCAATAAGTAATAAGACATTTTTTCTTGTTTGCAATTTTAGATGAAAATCGACACTGATTCCAAATCTGGTTTTAGATTTTTTCTATCACATAATTTTTGAGATGATTACTAATTACTAATTATGCATAAATTTGAATTTTATGAGCATTTTCCTAGAATAAACGGAACTTTCCACTATAACTATTTTTAGGTTAAGGGACAGTTCCGAGAGGCAGTAAGGGCAGTTATCCATTGGTTCTAATTGGATCTCAATCGCAGTATTACTAAATACTCATCATTTTAAAATCACTGGGATTAAAACTCGTTCTACAATGTTATAAAATTGCAATTATTTTTTTATAGAAATAAATGATTGAATATAGTAATTATATTAATTCTATTAGAATTAGATATTGAGTATTTGAACATAAATATATTAAAGTGGTCAGTGGCGTTGGTTGGGAGGTTGTAATTCCCCTCGAGAGGATTAGCGATGAATAGATGAAAAAAAAAAATTCAACTAAATAATTGACGTATTGTAAGCAGTTTTGCAAAATGAGTGATTAAAAATATAAGATTGTGACGCCAAGCCAATGTATTTTGGGGTGACTCGGCCAGACAAGTAAGAGTAGCAAAAGACTTGCCATGTGCATATCTTTAAGTCAGTAAAGCTGTGCAAAAGTCAATGCACGGAACAGTTATAAAATGATATCCAGAACTCTGGTTTATCATTACATATATGAGATTGGGCGTGTGGAATAACATAAGGACCAGCAGTAGACGATCAAGGTTGCTGTCGATGAGAGCGAGCGTCTTGCAATGAATGACAACGATGCTGATGATTTTACTGGACGTACATAATCAGTTGACCCGTTTGGTACTCGAAAATTGGATTTCATCGCATAGCTGTGACTGTTTCGGTGCCGGACGTTGGCCGCTTACAGTACTCAAAATCACTCGCTCACGATTTTAATTATAATATGATAAAAAAAATTTATAATACGATGATGGATTCTGTAACAGTATGTGCTGAAGAGTGTTGAATAATTTAATTTTTAATAAAATAATGATTAACAACTTCCTTTATAGTGGCTAACTGGAATAACCAATATCAATTTGTTGTACACATAACATTGAAATCATTAAAAGGCTACGACATAAAGGACCACAACGGTTGTGTTATCTATAGAAGATCTATAGTAACTAAATTATTTTTACTGGCTAAATAATTTTAATCCGTACGTTGTTAGGTCACCTAATAACATTTTTTAAACAATTTAAGATAATTTTTGTTCATGTGAACAATAATCCGAGCATAATTTTTTATATACCAATTTAATAAATTATGATATATTTTTTAATAGTTAAAACAAATTAAACAGAAATTAGAAGATAATAATGTACTAAAACAATCTCGAGTATTTTGACTTATTTAACTAGTAAGTAATGAACTAACTTTAATTTTTTTATTACAAATATAAATGTTTAAAAATATGTTTAAGTTATTATTTTGAACAAATTGAATTATTATATTACATAATTTGTTCAAGACATCAGGTCGATATTGCACTAGCTTTATTCATGGTGCAATAGTCCTTAACCTTCAATTACACTACTTCTCACATTTTCCAATAAATGTTTCTGTTTTTTTATTATACTCTTTGCTTCACACTTAATCCTTTCCAGAAACCCATTTTAAGGACGTATAATTCGTGCGTTTAATACAATTATATAAGTAGTACTCTTATCCGCCATACTTGTCAAAATGAATTGTAACTTTTTAATGTATACGATTCATTTAATAATTATGTAGTCAAAAATATGAATAATGTAAACTATAACGTTTAAAACTTATGAATTAATGTTAGCTATCCGTGGAAAATTGAAATTATGCTGGTAAATAAATATAAATAACAAATTAAAATCATACGATGATTTCGTGAACTTTTAATAGAGCGACTAATGTGACTTTTAAAAATTGTATGATATATAAAAATGTATAAATATTTTTACTGTGTAGTACCAAATATTTTTTTTACTAAATAATTAAACTCAATGGCTAGATTCAAAAGACATTTTTATCTCTAATAATCTTAACTTTTATTCACTTTATCTACCTATTCTGGAAATATCATCAAAATTCTTGTAGAAGTTTCGCATTCTACCTTAACCAAAGGCAAATTTTTATCAAATATAATTAAATTTTTGTGCAATGGGTCATTCAGTTGCTGCCCCTTAGCACTAATGTTTAGCTGCGATGTTAGTTCTCGAATGGATGACCATATGTGAATTTTAATAGAGACACACACCTTGTTCCTTTATGGTTCCCTCGACCACAATGAGGTGGCGTCAGGTTGACATTTAGTGTAAAAATCCTGTCGAATCATTGTAAAGTAAAGCCGACACCAAGTAGTCGGAATATAAAGTTGATGTTGTATGATAATTTAGTTAATGGCTAATAATAATTATAACAATTTGTATTCTCGTTCGATTTCATAAAATAAATATTACAAGCAAAGATACTTGAACAACATTTGAAAGAATTGAACTGGTTTTACAGGAGTAACTTAGGCAATATACTATTACACGGGTGCATGTTCAGCGTGTCAACGCGTATTGCATAACATTAAGATACAGCAATAAGACATAACCGAGTATACTTTTTGCTACTTGACATTTTTTTTTTGCTTTTCAAGTCTAATTAATACAAATTCTATATATTTCCGAAAAAAATTGAAATCTTTACCTGCACCGTATTCTTCTTAATTTTTACAAATTATAAAGTGCATTGTACACACATATCGTAGGATTACGTTCATCACGTGTAGCATACATTGTATACCTATTACAGCGGTTGAAGCAATAGCACAACACTATGCATCGGTTACCTTCACATAATTATCCATGTGCACTCGTATGTGTATTGTGTGTACCCAGTCGTCAGAATAATACGCGATGAAACAATAACGGTTGCTAATTTGTGCTATTTTCGATCCTCGGGACATTAGTCAAGTGGTGATTTGGTAATTTAACTACTGTAGTCTTGGCAATCAATAAACACCAAGACAATCGACGAATATTCCGCAACTGTTCAATTTTGGTCTAACCGGAGTTCTCAAAGCGTCGACATTCCTTTTGTTGGGTTTCATCCTTGACAATGTTTCACCCAATAACCGATTTAATTATCGTGGCGACAGCTGTCTTTAACATTATCCCATCAGCATCGCAACGGATCCGTCGTAGGAGGTAGCAGACAATACTCGTGCAACTTGAGAAACCGCATCTTAAAGCCACCACCAATATATTGTTGCTAACTATGTAGAGGTTTTATAGGAGCAAGTTATATCTCCATATGAAATTGTCAAAAGTATTGCTGAAATAATTTCGTAATTCATTTGGTTAACTTTAATTATTATTTTCAATTATAAAAACTCTTCATGGAAGCAACGGTTACTACAACGTTTATAATAAATACTCTACCAATTTTAATCAAACCGGTGGCGTAATAAGAGATTCGTCCTTTGGGTAATATACACAAGAAAAATATTTACTACCCCTTACAAAAAAAAAAAAATTGTATCCTCCCCATTAAATTATGTAATTACTAAAATATTAAAATATTGCTTAAACGTATATGTATATATTTGATATTTTAGGAATATGAAAAAAATGTCTTTCTGCTTGGGATAATAGACGTACAATATATAGTTTTCAAAATGCGATTGAATTATTATATTAAAAATATTATGAACAATGAAATAAAATGGAGAATGAACATGAATCTTACCCTCTCGAAACATGTCACGTTTAAGTAGTATGTAAAATTATAGACCCACTTTTACTAAGTATAACTACATGTAGCATTGTTTATCATGACTTCCGTTGTTTAGTACAATAAAATATAATGTTGTAGGCCCTCTGAAATCTTTTTTCATTGTAATGGATGTCCTTTCTCATAAAACACACTTTATCACTTCACTAAGTTAATATTTACATTGTAAAATATATTTTCCATTTCATTAGGCGTTAGATACTTTCTCTGAACTGTTTGCTTAAAATTTGCTATTGCATATTTATTTAAGAAGAAATCAAAGTGGACAATTAATTGATTTGAATTATAGTCTTAGTAAATCTACTATTTAAACGCTTAAATTTAAGAAGCACCGAAATTCAAAATATAATCACGTTGATATGATTATTTTAGAAAACAGTTGTTATAAGTTCAGACTGTCTCTTATGGCGTCATCAATGACGGCTTACTATTAGTCGTGTTATGTTTGATTATAATAATATAGTTTATAGAGAGCATGTACTTAAACGAAATGTCTCATAGATGTATTTCAAATAAATTAGTTTAAGTACATGTTTAAATTATATTTGTCGCGGAATACGACTACACATGCATTGCGTGCAGAATATCTTTATCGACATTCGCCCATGAAAACGATTTATGTATATGAAGGAGAAATCACTGTCCAATATAAACAAAGAGTAGGTGGAACAAATTGGATGTATCAGTATTGTCATGTAACAATAAAAATGAATCTACAATTTTTGAATGAGCGTTGGCAACTTGTATGACTCGCGCTAGAAAGAAGATCAACGCTGTTGAAGAGCATTCATAAAATTAACCTAAGGTGAGTAACATCTGTCTGAAATGATTGATCTGCACGACGCATACTTTCATCGTTTACAATTACACTATGCTTTCGTATGACTTTCAGGCTAAAATTTAATACACGTAGATGAAATCATACATTAAATGTTATTTTTGTGATGGTAAATAAGATAATTTTCTTTATAATAATTGTTCGATGTAATAAAGCGAATCAATAAATATTAATTGCT